TATTGTATGTAGGACCCCTTGCATGGAGAGTCAGCACTGTTCTGTATAAATAGCTGTGTTCTGTACAGTAAAGATCATTATAACCCCTACATAATGGGTGCGAGAAAGACTATAGTACAGTTATAATCACTGCCCTAAAAAGAGTCAGCGTCTCCACAACTATATTCACTACAGCCTGGTTCGGTGGAAGAGGTCCTCAGAGACCTACTCAGAGACCACCCAAATAAGGTCGTCATCTCAGTACACTTTTTCCTGACCTACCTGTCCATGTAACTAACATGAATTGATCTGTTCCTTTCCCTAACGGAGTCTACACCTTTAAGATTGTGAAATTCGGCATACAGAGGAAATAACACTTCATCCTACACTTGATGTTTTATTCATTGAAACTCAAAGGCACAAAAGCAAACAGAATGCTAGTGTGTGCATGAAAAACACATGCTATCAGTTCCTTCTGCCAGAACATTTTTATTAACACCTCTGTCTGAATTATTTACAAATGGAGATGGGAAGGCCAACACTCATTCATGGAACATAAAGAAATCATTGTCTCTGTTTGATTATATTCTAATTCCGTTGTATGATACAGCTGAGTTTCATTTTGTGGTTTTTCCAAATCTAATTACAGCTAGCAGAATAAACACCTTGGTCATTTATTACAGATTCAGATGGAAAATAAGAATTATAATCTGGTTTAGTGCAATGATTAAAATGTAGAACAATATACCAGTTTCTCAAGGAAATATTTTTTTTTCTGAATTCTCCTGACAGTAAGTAAAACAAGAATATACATCCTGCCCAGTAATATGTTTTAAACACATATTTGCCTGGTGATATTAATCCAGGGCTCATTCAAGCCTCAAAATAGCAAATGGAAAATGAGCTGTAAATGAAATGAATAATAGGATAATTATACATAAACTCTAGCAGTTTAGAAATGGTAGCTGGCATAATTTGTCCCTTGTGGGCACACCTCACCATCATCCCCACCTTTGCTCATTTCCGCCCACTCCCAATATCACACTTGCCAACTTGACAGGTCTACTTCCAAACCAGTTTTCTTTTTTTAAAAGCCGTGTGATTCTTAGACACAGTAATTTAAAAATATCTTTACAAAATATAAAGCTTAAAGGAACAGTATAGGGTCAGGAACATAAACATGTATGCCTGACCTTATAGTGTTAAAAACACCATCTAGCTTCACTACCCCCACCCCGTTTCCCCCTAAATATAGTAAAATCTTACCTTTATTTCAATCTGCTGCTGCTGGCTCTGCCCCTGAACTGCCTGCTTGGCTGACATAATCAGAAGTGGTGTTCTGAGCCAATCACAATGCTTTCCCATAGTATTTGAATTTGCTGAACTTGTTAAGGAGGCAGATCAGGGGTAGAGCCAGCACAAGCCAAACACAATCAGCATCTCCTCATAGAGATGTATTGAATCAAGTAAAGGAATCATGTAGAGGATAGAGACATTGAATGCCAGTCACAACATTGCTCCAGGAAGCACCTCTAGTAACCATCTGAGGAGTGTCCACTGGAGGTTTCCTTAGGCTGTAATGTAAATATTACATTTTCTCTAAAAAAAAAAGTGTTTACTGCATAAAGCCTGAAGGGAATTTTTCTACTCTCCAGAACAAATACAATACGCGGTAGTGTCCCTTTAAAAAGTAAATAATGTATTGTAGCTAAGAAAGTATTTATGGATATGATCTGGTTATTTCTATATCCTTTTAAAAACAAAATAATTGATAACTGTAATTTTGCTTTTAATTTGTCATCTCATGACTAGGATGAACCCACAGACCAGATAGCATACATTACCTGTGCATTCATGTATGCTCTTGCATGTATACACGTGGGCATTGATGCTCATGTTCATACAAAAAGCACTGTGACTGGGGAATGGTAGATTCTTATGACATCAAAGAAGCTATGCAGAAAGTGCACTATTTTAGCAGAATTTCTATTTTGAATGCTTCTCAGCTCTCCAAATCCGTTGATTTAAAATGTAAATAAATAAGGATGAAAATCAGCTGCTTCAAACCATCTTGGGAAACACAATATTGAACGAATGTTACAGAAGTTGTGATGCTTGGAAATAATCTGATGATTGACAGCTCTTCTTGCAAATATTTTCTCGTGAGTAGGGCTAGTCTATTTCCACTCCAGATGGCTAAAAAATTTTAAAACATATCTTGATGAATGTTTTCCACTTCAAACCAGACAAGCTTATAACTGGCTCTATATCTCTGGCAGTACTTCAGTGCAAGATTGTAGGAAATTCCCTTTCTCTGTGATAACAAGCTGCAATGTGCCTGCTAGTGTAGATCTAAATAATACATTAGCTCTCAACCCCATTTATTTTATGGAGCTGAATACATTGTGAATGAAGTCTGAATAAGCTAAAGCAATAACCATAGATCATCCAAAGTAGACTCATTTTAGTGGCCCATCATTGTTTATTTTATTCAACAATTAGTATCAGTGATTAATTAGACAATAAGTAATATATATATATATATATATATAACATTTATATATCTGGACAAATACAAAAGACTAACCAAGGACTGAAAGAGGAGCTAGTAAGGATGTGAAACGTGAAGGCAGTAGTAGTTACTGTTGTGACAGAAAATTCTGAGGTTACGATTCATTTTCATCTTAAAGTAGTTTAGTCATGTAGCGTACTATATATTTAGTTTAGTTTCTGTTGTAATTTACTATAATCCTATTACCATGTCCATGCAAAGTAAATGTTATTTTGTTAGTAAATGCGTTATTTTTGCTAATCCTCACTTTGAATTTAAGATATATATTTTTTCTGTTGTGATATGAAATTGTGCGTTGAAATGCCTACTAAGTGATACAAGCGTCATTCGTTCATCTTACATCTTTGACACACACATTTTACTATCTGGCTGTCACAACTTGCAACGAAAGGAACATGCAAACAAATTATTCAAAGATATAGAGAAGAAGACCCTGGATGACGGGGTCTGCAAGCACTTTGAGAAGCTGTTTGAAAGTAACAACACTAATTAATAAGAAACCAATTCTTATGGAAATGCAATATATATATATATATATATATAAAAACAAATATCAAAGTCCCTTGCAATCACGCTTGTGATGTTCCAATGCCGGGCGCACTACCAGAGCTCCAATAGGTACAATATCCAATAAGAAAAGGCTGCTCTCCGGACTTAAAACGAAAACTTTATTGAAGAAGTTTAAAAATAATGTCATTATTTTTAAACTTCTTCAATAACGTTTCCATTTTAAGTCCGGAGAGCAGCCTCTTCTTATTGGATATTATATATATATATATATATATATATATTTGAAGTAATTTCCAATAGTGGTCCAAAAATGAAAAAAAAAAAAAAATCTTTCCTGACTCCAAAATAGCACTCATATTTCTTCTTGAATTAAAAAGCTGTTAACATATATATTAATAACTATACACTTCACTATTATTGTTTTAAGAAATAGTGCATCCAGACTTTTTTTTTATTCTTTTTTTTTTTTGTGCTGTGCTTGAGAATACAGCAAACTGCAAAGCCACAACAATTGACTGACATACAATTACACAACAATTTAAGGCATATACATGTTGTACTGCTACGTTATGTGGCACTTGTTATCTTCGCACATTTTTATAATATATAGTAGTAGTCAAGCTAAAGCAATCTATCTAAGCCCTGGAGCAACTCATGAGGAACTGCACATTTACGGATGATACGGATGATAGGTGATGCTTAGCAAATTTCAGACATGCATAGTGAGAATTATACATATGGTATGAGTAATACTCTTGGTTAACTCGCACGATTCAATTAAGTTATTCACTGTGACTTTGCTGAAGTCAGTACTATGGTGCCATTCCCCTAAAAAGGTAAGTGGTAAAAAAGGCTATACAAATACAAAGAAACTAGTCCTGCACTCAAACTCCCATTACTCCTGGGCGGCAACAATGACCATAGTACACATCAGCCAAAATACATATAGTAAAAACCAAAGAAAAACATGAACAAAGTAAATAACTATAAGCAAAAAGATTAGGCTTATTAAGCTGAACTGTCATACCGACATGGGGAGAAGCATACCTCAGCTGATGAAACCAAGTCAGCCGATCCCTGATAGTGACAAGAAAAAACAAAACAAAACTGAAAATAACAAGTGCCGCATTTTATTCGGCTGGCGTGCCTAGCAGTATATTGTGTGTGGTCGAAGGGGGGTTCCAGAGCTTACCCCTCATTAAGGGGGGAGATATGTTAGCAAGTGAGTGGCGTAGCTTGGGTTTGACAGGAGGCATGGGATCGGCAGGGCCGGATTAACATAGGGGCTGATGGAGCTGCAGCTCCAGGCCCAGGCCCATGGAATAGGCCCATTTAAAAAAAAAAATTTTTTTTTTTTTACACACTAATCTTAGGTTTGCCACCTGACTGGTATTTTAATGGCACAGGCGGTATTTGAGGCTGCCTGGCCGTGCCGGTATTGCAGTAATACCAGCAATACAAATGCAGGTAATTTTCTCAGAATAAATGGAAATTACTCTGCAATACCAGCACCGGCCAGTAGGGGTCACTGTGTGTGGAGAGAGGCAGGTATAGGAAGTTACAGAATATCCCTGCCTCTCTCTACTACTTACTGATCCCTGGGGGAGCAGCTACACAGCGCAGACAGTCCAGACAGCAGCTTTACAGCTCAGGTAAGTGAGGGATGGGGGGAAAGGCAGCAGGGACACATGGAGACACAGACACTAGGGGACACATGGGGACACAGACACTAGGGGACACATGGGGACACTGAGACACTAGGGGACACAGACACTAGGGGACACTGAGACACTAGGACACAGACACTGGGAGACCTGGGAACACAGACACTTGGGGACACTGGAAAACATGGGGACCGAACACTAGGGGACACAGACACTTGGGGACATATGGGGACACTGAGACACTAGGGGACACAGACACTAGGGGGCACTAAGACACTAGGACACATGGGGACACAGACACTGGGAGACCTGGGGACACAGACACTTGGGGACACTGGAAAACATGGGGACACTGGGACACATGAGGATGCTGAGACACATGGGGACATTGGGAGACACTATGTTCCCATGTCCCCCAGCCAGTGTCCCTAGTGTCTCAGTGTCCCCAGTCTCCCAGTGTCTGTGTTCCATGTCTCTTAGTGTGCCTAGTGTCCCCATGTCTTTGTCCACAACTGTCCCCATGTCTCCCCAAGTGTCTCTCCCAGCCAGTGTCCCCTAGTCTCCCAGTGTCTGTGTCCCTAGTGTCTTAGTGTCCCCAAATGTTTCAGTGTCTCCATGTCACCCAGTGTCTGTGTTCCTAGTGTCTCAGTGTGCCTGGTGTCCCCATGTCTCCCAGTGTCCCTATATGTCCCAGTGTCCACATGTCCACAACTGTCCCCATGTCTCCCAGTGTCCTCATGTCTATGTCCACAACTGTCCCCATGTCTCCCAGTGTCCCCAAGTGTCTGTCTCCTAGCCAGTGTCCCCTAGTCTCCCAGTGTCTGTGTTCCCATGTTTCTGTGTCCCTAGTGTCTAAGTGTCCCCAAATGTTTCAGTTTCCCCATGTCTCCCAATGTCTGTGTCCCTAGTGTCCCAGTGTCCCCATTTCTCCCAGTGTCCCCATGTCTCTCAGTGTCCCCAGTATCTTAGTGACATGGGGACACACTGAGACATTGGGACACTGGGAGAAATGGGGACACAGACACTGGGAGACTAGGGGACTGGACGACATGGGGACACTGACACTGTGATACATAGGGACACTGATACACTGGGTGACTTGCGAGACTGAGACACTGGGAGACAGGGAGACACTGGGAGCAATCCATCTATACAGCAGAATCAAACAGTGAGTAGTTTGTTGGTGATTTTACAGAATTTTCTCTGATGTCACTCCTTGTGATTTACATCATGTGATGTCACGCATAACTAATTAATTATACAAATGATTAAGGCTGGAATTTTTTTCCAAGAAGGTGGCAACCTTAACTACTCTTCACATACTCTTGCTTAAAGGAGCACTATAGGGTCAGGAACACAATCATGTATTTCTGACCCTACTATGTTAAAACCACCACCCTGGCCCCTTCTTGCCTCCCTAAATATAGTAAAATATTACTTGTATTCAGTTCTGCAGCTGCTGGCTCAGAAGTGGTGGTCTGAGCAAATTACAATACTTCCCCATAGGATTGGCTGAGACTGTCAACTAGGCAGAACAGGGGCAGAGCCAGCACAAGTCCAGCATAGCCCTGGCCAATCAGCATCTCCTCATAAAGATAAATTGAATCAATGCATCTCTATGAGGAAAGTTCAGTGTCTGCATGCAGAGGGTGGAGACACTGAATGTCAGTGCTGCACACTAGGCAGTACTGCCCCAGGAAGCACCTCTTGCAGCCATCTAAGGAGCGGCCAGTGGAGTTATTTTCTCTGAAAAGACAGTGTTTACTGCAAAAAGCCTGAATGGAATGATTCTACTTACCAGAACAAAAACAATAAGCTGTAGTTGTTCTGGTGACTATAGTGTCCCTTTAAGTTTGGAAGCTTAAGATGGATGTATGGGAACAAAACTTGTGTGCACTGGCTGACATTAAAATTAGTTTAGGTAATGCAGACGGTCTCTCTAACACTGTGGCATGTCCCCTTTCTTCTACACTCACTACATACAGCTTTTCTCTGTCTCAGACTATATACCAGGAACTTCTGCCTGCTAGTAAGAAGGTAAGGAGACAAGTGCTAGGGGACAGTCCTTAGAAAGAATGGAGTGAGCGCATCATTAGATGCATTTATGTCAAGCTCAAGGTGCTGCCTGCATAGTATACCCTTAGTTGGACAGCCTGCAGGATTGGCAGGCAGCCTGACATGCATTCATGCCAGACTGACCTTCCAATTCTTTGGACAAACATGCCCCCTTTTTGGGCATGTTCACCCCTTTTGGCAGGTCTTGTCACGTGATTCGCGCCAGTGGCACACCCTTTTACCCCGCCCATTGACTTCCTGCTTTGCTGGACACTGCTGTTAGGGGTTATGGATTTACTTGAAAGATGAAAGCATAAATTAGAGAAAGATTAGCATAGAGTGTTTGTTTTCTTATAGCTGCATCCTATGAGTTTCCCTCCAGCACCATCTCCATCAGATACATGATGCTTGGGAGGTATGACTGTTTTAGTGTTTTTGGTCGATAAGATTCCGTAATTAGGCCCATCATAATTGTCAGCACCAGGCCCACTGTGCTCTTAATCCGGCCCTGGGGATCGGATATGTGCTGAGGGCTTATGGCCCTTTTCAAGCATGAGTGTGGGCCCTGATTCCTTTGTCGGGAGTGCTATGTGTCTTTTTCCCCCCGCCGTATAGTTCCTTATGCCCTGCTTTGCGGTAGGGCGTAAAGATACTTGGCTTGTGAGAGGCTAATATAAACCATAAAGATAAAATAAAAACCAATTATAATGGAGTAGAATTAAACAATCTGGCAATAATGGAACCAAAGAGAGAGAAAGAAAAAACAAATTGTCAATGGTAGTGGTACAGAACCAGTATCATTGGCAAGCAATGGCCTTTCTCTTTAGGCTGTCCGAGGTGTTTCAGGTGGTGACTGCTGCATAGGATTCCCTCATAGGCCCCTGAGGGACAAATTGAATTTGGTAGCTGGATTCCAGACGTGGTTGGTTGTAGTCAACCCACTGGTAGCCAAAAAGTCCCTTGGGAACCCTAGCATAGGTAATATTCTTTTTGCGCCCTGTTGATCTTTGATAGGGTACGAGGTGTCTCCATGTTGTACCTGCAGTGTGCGGGGTGTTCTCCATCAAAACTTGATGTTGTTCCCTCACAACAGGGATGTAAAGGGCTGGAGGGAACGGCGCCTCACAAGAGTGCTTCCCGATAGATCCGCGTAGCACAAGAGTACCGTGCTCTAGAATGAGTATGGTGAGTAGAGATGTCGCGAACCGTCTGCGAACTTCTCGCGAACGGTTTGCCGCGGTTCGCCACGAGCTGTTCGAGGCGAACTCCGGTCAGCTGACACGTCCCGGCCAATCTCCAGCAGACCCTCCCTCCTAGACCCTTCTACTTCCTGGACAGCATCCATGTTTCAACATCTCTAATGGTGAGTAGTTCCGTACGGTGTTTAGAACCACTGTTTTGTCCTTGCCCCTCTGGAACCGGATCAGCAGGTCTCATGGTGTCGAGGATGGGTAATGTTTGCTGAGCGTTTTGGTGGGTATCTTCTTCCAATGTGCCCATGTGGCTTGTCAGGCCTCTCAGGTCTTGGTGGATTTGGCCACATTGGCTTGGAGTGTGGGGCCCGAGTCTGGTGGTAAGGGTGGCAGCTTGGAGGCTGCTAGTGTAGGTATGTGATCCTCCACTGCCCCATCTGAGAAATCATCTGTAATAGCAGAGGCATTATTCGCTAATCTTTGGATTCATGGCGCTTTGAGCCTGTCTCCAGAGGTCCCCTATATTCGTGCTCATTCTTGGCTTGTCTGGCTTAACTTTTTTGGTCTTACAACCCATTGTGCTGTTGCCTGCCCAGGGATCAGTTTGGGGTTCCTGTTGGAAGGGTTTTTAGCCTCGTATTATGAGTTACATTGGCTTGTTGGTGCAGAGCAGTTCCAACATGTGGCCTTTCAGTTCAGCTGCTTGTCTCTGCCCCCAGCCATCCAGACTTTTTTAATCTACAAAATTTCATAAAATTTTGTAAAATAATGCTTATTGTTTTTACTGTGAGAGTAGCTTTCTCTGCTTTAGGTGAAATCACCTTTCTTCAAGTCTTAATGAATGAATTCTCATACAAAGGGGGATATAACTACATATAAAGGAGGCATTGCTTTCTACTGGTCTATGGTTGCCACAAGCTCGATACACCATGATTTGGTGGGTACTGATTACTTGTTCATGTTTACAGGATGTATAGAGCAATGCTGTCTTGTTTTATGTAGAATTCATATGCTGTGGTTTTGCTCACTGAAAAATGACTTCTCTTGCTGTATTTCAATTCTACATATTGCAGGATATCATTTCTGTGCTGTCCATCAGCATTTATAAGTGATAATTATTCCTGGAAAACATGGAGTATTTGGCATCCTTTAAATAGTGCTATGTATAAACAAGTGTTATATTACATTTGAAGCCTTACAGTTCTGAAGTATGTGTTTCTCTAATTGTAGTAAGAGATTAAATAAAGGATATTATGCATTAATGAAAATTATAATGAATTCTGTCAAAGTACCATTTCTTTTTAAATGCAACAACTGTACCATTTCAGAAATAAGTAGCTCTCATTCATGCAAAGTTTTTCATCTCAGGCACATAACATTGTAAATTTGAATTCTTTACAGAGCAAACATTGACATGTTTGTTCACCTTAATCTCAGACATAGCAAGAAAACATTCCACTCTGTAAAGTTCAAAGCATCAAGCAACAGTGCTGAAATATGGGATGTTGTGTGGAACACAGTGAAATGATGGTATGCTGTTAGCTTAGCCAACCATGGTAGTCAAATAAGATACACATAAATCATTCAGTCCTGTCAGTGCCCTCAGAAAACATTGAAGATATAAATATGCAAGATTTTTTCATGCTTTGAAAATTTCTTTGGTACTAAAAAAATTATGAATGTTATCAAAAGTATAGTGAATAGGGCCAGGGCTGGCACGTCCATTAGGTGGCACAGGCGACCGCCTTAGGACGCACAAGCCTAGGGGGCTCTAGATTAAAGTAACCCGGCAGGAGGGAAGTGCACAGACTGTCAGTCTGGCCCGGTACAGGAAACAGAAGCTCCTGTACCACGGTACACAACACTCGGCCATGGTACAAGAAAGGTAATGAGGCATGTATTGGAGGGAGAGGAGCAGATCACTAAGTGGGGCAGGGGGAAAAAGAGGAACACTAAGGGACACAGAAGGAGGACACTAAGACAGGAGAGGGAAGGGAAAAGTAACACTAAGAGGTTGGGGGGACAAGTAAAAGAGAGGGGATGGGAGAGGACCACTAAGGGGGGGAGGGAGAGGCATACTAAGGGACAGGGGAGGGGAAATTAACACTAAGGGACAGGAATGGAAGGGGAAAGGAACACTAAAGGACATAGAGAGTAGGGGAGATGACCACTAAGGGACAGGGAAGAGAGGGGAGAGGACCACTAATGGGTGGGCAGGGGAGAGGACCACTAAG